CCTGCAAAAAAAGAAAAAAAGAAAGTCTAGCCGGAGTTTTAAATGATACTAATCTGAAAGGGCCTCCTGCGGGCGGCGTGGGCAGCCTTGGTATCTCAGCGTTTACATTTGAGTAATCCGCGCGAATTAAATGGACTTTTAGGGTCGTTTAGTTTGGAAGGGACCTCCGCAGGCCATCTGCTCTGCTCGCCCTCTCAAAAACTCGGAAGCACGATGCGTGTAGCGCTCTACGGGGTGCCCCTTTCAGCCTAGCGTGCTGATAACTGGAGTAGCGGGTTGCGGTGCCTTGCTTAGCAGCCACCGGAGGGAGGCGGCTGTGCCTGCCCGGGCATCTCTCGGGGGAGCGTCTGCAGAGCTGTGCGGCTCAGCCGGCTCTGCTTCCTAGCAGCAAGTCACTGCTTCTCTAAATGCTTTGGACGACTGGCTTATCTTCAGGAGTTTCGCAGCCCGGTTAGTCACAAGTGTTAATCACTGATGCCTCAGACGGGCTTACAGCTCTTGATAAAGGTTTATGGAGTTTGATAACAAGTTCCTGGACCAAACAAAAAAAGGCAAAAAAAGGAAGCTGTGCCAGCTGTAACTGCTGTAACTCCTCACAGCTGAGAAAAAGAATGGGAGAAAAAGGGCAGGGCAAGAAGTCAAGGGTACATTTTTCCCGTTGTATGCTTAAATAATGACTTTGCCAACTGTTATGAAAAACTGCTAGGAGAAATGGCTATAATTAAAATGTTGCTAGGAACTGTTATCGATGAATGTGTATTTAGGCTTTTGGGTTTAAAAGTGAAGCCCTAGAAGTATCTTCTAAGTGCTTGCATTTTCTCCTTTTCCATTTTAAGAGTACCTGCAAGGTATTTTTTTGGACCTTATCATCTAGAATATACAGATAAGGCTCCTGATTGCACTAGGAAGTAATGTGTTCTGGAGCAGGGTTTTGTCAGGTTAATTTGATAATAAACAGTAAGCCTTAATCTGCTTTCAGAGTTGTATGTATAGTAAAAAAGGAGTGGGGCATAAAACAAAGGGAGTTAGAATAAAAATCATGATTTTTTTTTTTTTTCTTTGAGGGACTTGCTATAACTAATGTTGGGCTTGTTTAATCTGGTGACAACTGTGTGTAGCTGTTAACCACATAGCCACTCTAGATCACTACAAGTCTGGAATCAAAGTGCACTAGATAAAGCTTTAAAAAGCATCTGTATTTAAAAAAAAAACATACTGTAAACAAAGGTGATGGCTTATGTGTCTTTATTAAATTCAAAGATTTTAAAATTATTTCTATTAAAAAGCAGTTAATCATCATTTTGTAATGTTAGTGAAGAAGGGAGACCAAATACTTGTCATTGATGTTGTTTTTTTCCTCTTCCTCCTCCTGCCATGATTTTCCGGGGTAACTAAGTTCGCGATCCGAGTTGTTCAGTGCTGTGTGTTTTTTCTTTATTGAGAGAAAAAAACAGCCTTCACCACTCCACAAAATTCCTCTGGCATTAATTAAATGCTTTATTATTGAATGCGTCACAAATATTTCAGCTGTCCAATTGCTGAAATTATTCTTAGTGGGATTCATTCAGGATAGACAAGGGTTATCCTCTTTGCAAAGTATGGTCAGCCAGGTACCACAAGGGAATGCATGATGTAAGCTCCTTCGAATATGCTACTGCCAGGTAACTTCAATCAGTGTCTGGGCAGGAGTAGGAGTTGGCATCTACCTGAAGTGTGGGTGAATGTTATGGTGTCTGGCTTCATGTCTGTTGGATCTATTATAATCAGTTTCTATTTGTAGTGAATGAGTTCCTAATTTATACATGTTAATATCAGCAAAGCCTGTTACAATTAGAGTTTGAATTGAATTGACAGAGGGTACTTTATTTACTTCAGGGTTCAGTAAATTACGTAGCAGGTGCTGAAGGAGGGAAATACTATTTTGCTTCGTCGTCTAAATCATGATGACTGACTGGACTACTGACAATTTGAAGTAAAATGTAATGGTCTTCCTTTTTTTTCCAGTTTGGTGGAAGGTAAGGAGGCGTTGCAGTTGTGCTTCTGTTTGGACTGCGCAGAATGATGGCAGTATCGCTACCCAGTGAATCAAGGACATTGCATTATCTAGACAGGGCTATAAACGGCCAATCTACTTTTGTATCAAGGCCTCTTCGCTATAATCAGCTTACACTCCATTTGCTTAGTATACCAAGCAAACCTGCTGTGACAGTGTTTGTATAGTGTCTTATTCACACTGTCTTTTTAAAAGTTTAAGGACTGCTTAGCCATATGCCCACCTACTGTGCTAGCACTGCTGTATGTGTAATGGTTTTCCAACAGCTATTTCCTTCTCTGATTTTCTGAACCACAGGTGATCCCTGTGTATTTCAGCCAGAATTATGGGATTGTTTGACAAGCTAGCGGGATGGCTTGGGCTGAAGAAAAAGGAGGTTCATGTTTTGTGCCTTGGCTTGGACAATAGTGGCAAAACAACAATCATAAATAAACTTAAACCTTCAAATGTAAGTAGCCTACCTAGTTCACTGTTGATGTGTTTACTGCAGAGTTGATGTTTGTTTAAACTGGTTTTGTGTGCTGTTATACTAAATGTGACCATGGAAAAGATGGGAAGAGCTATTTGATTTAGTGCGGTGGAACAAATATATTTTAAGAGTTTCCAACTAACTAAAACTAAATGTAAGCATCCACATGCATATTATGAAAACATTTCCCAAAAAAACACTGTTAATGTAGCACACTTTTTCTAAGATCACCCAATAAGGAAGGGTTTATGATGGCTGAAATCAGGATCTGAAACAGTTTTCTTAAGTCACTTAAATAATTGCTACAGGATTGTGGTTACAAGTGATGTGTTGAACATTTGGGATTAATACAGTTGTTATACAACTTGTACTTGTCTACATTTTTCACATTTATTTTAATCTCTTCCTGAGAAACACTAAGTATAAAATAAACAATAAAATATGAAATAATGTGCAGATGCACACTTAATGGAGACTTCAGCATTTTTAAAGCAGAATAGCTTTCCAAATAAGTAGCATGTATACTTGCAGTTCATTCATCCAGTGAAAAGTGTTTCAGGTGACTAAGAGTGTATAGTATTCTGATTAAAATTTAAAGTAGGATTACCTTGTTTCTAGGTATGTTTATGGAATATAAATAAATGCATTTTGGTAGGCATGTTCAAAGCCAGAGGCTTGTGCATCTTGGTTATATGCATCTGGGAAACAGCAATTTTTGTTGTTTATATCAGGACACAGCTTTTGGGTGTTTTTAACTTCCATTGAACTTTTCCTGAAGAGTACCACTGGACATTTTTTAAAAAAATGTAACATGGTAAAGAGTCTGCTACTCTTCCATTCTTGACAATTATTCTTCCACTGAAAATTAAGTAGATTTATAAACAAAGGCTATAAACTGCTTACTATCTGCTGCCAGTCGTTTGGGGGAAATGCTACAATTTGTACCAGGCAAATTTTCTATTTATGTAATTTTTGAGACCTTTATTGTAGCAGGGTTTTTATGTCATGCCTTAAGCAGTAAAGGATTCCTAACTAGAGTTGAACACAGACTTCAAGATCTATCACAGTAATAGGCATTAGAGAATGTCCCAAGGGAATTACACAAGTGAAATAAATATAATTTGTTTGCTTTACTGTAAATCATGTAATGAGAATTTACTTCTGAATGTTTTCATTTAATGTGATGCTTTAGGAGGGTAGCTTTGCATACAACTTGTGTAAGTCCTATCCTTGCAAGACATGACAAATTCTCTAATGTGCAACAAATGTCATTAGATCAGACTTGATGAAATTGTTGGGGTTTTTTTTAAAGTTCAGTGGACAGATGATTTTGAGCTCGGGATCAACCCTGACTTCCTAAGAAGAACTGCTACTTTGCCCTAGGAGCAATATGTTAGTGTCTGGCAGATACAAGTGTTTCTCCGTCTGTTTGCAGTTGTTTCTTCTGGGCCTGATAAATACATTTGAAATAAATGTTAAAGAAATAACACCCCTTCTACTCTGCACAAAGTTTCCCTTGGTGACAGGAACTGTTGACTAAACTGTTTACAATGGTGGCATGCCATTTTCATAATGAAGCTGCAGGTGAACAAGCTAAGCTTGCTTCAGGTGTATGCAAGGAGTCAACTGCTTATAGACAGTGGTTTTAGTAATGGGTTCTAGAAAGCCTGTAAAAGGATTGCATGTCACTTTCTCAGACAGCTCTGTAATCTAAGGAATGTGACCTTTCTCCCTGTTCAGTATCGATGCTTCTTAAAGGAGCTATTCTGTTGTACCGACTTAGCTGATAGGTTCCTTGGCCAGCTCAGCAGTAAACCTGGTTATCAGACAGATCTATTAATAATGCGTTATGTTTTGACCATTCCTCTGTGATAAATGGTGATGTCTTCCAGTGGTCTAGTAGTTTGAATAGAACTATGGTTAGGCCATTGTGTAATGTCTGCTGTATAATTCCCAACGACAAATAGACTCCTCCAGCCTGTGGATAGAAGCTGGGAGTATGGCCAATCTAATATCTTGATAGAAGTATATCCTCTTTTATCTAAGAGGCTTGGGGCATTGTGCAGACTTGTTTGGGTTGACACTGTGATTTCCAAAGTGCACAAATACTGTGAACTTTGACCTCAGTCATAATCTTCAAGCTGTTACCTTCCATGTTAACCTATCTCCTATTTATTTCATAGGTAATGTCCACACATATGTGTACACACAGGCTAACGTAAAGGGTGGAATCTCACTCTTGAGGCTAAAATGTCTTCAATACTCTTGTCCAATAGTGTTCACTGTATTTCCTAGAAAATACAAAACCTTGATTTTGAATTACTGTACTTTTCTGGGAACCTTTTTAATATAAAGTATCCGGATTTGTAGAAAGTTTTTGTATTGCACAGTTTGGGGAAAAGCAGATCTGTAACATATTCATGTTTCAAATATATTTCTATATATACATTTTCGAACTTGATTGTAAAAGTTGTGCTTTCTTTCCTTTAAAGGCTCAAACTCAGGACATCGTTCCAACAATAGGATTCAGTATAGAGAAGTTCAAGACATCGAGGTAGTTTTCTCTTTCATTTTCTCCATTTAGCAGTAGTAATTAATATACAATAGTTGGGCTTAATTACCTTTCAGTGGGAGATGTAACCGGGTATAATGTGTGGTGGTATAATGACATGACATGATACAATAGTTGGGCTTAATTGCTTCTTTCAGTGGGATGTAACCGGGTATAATGTGTGGTGGTATAATGACATGACATGCAGTTTGCTGAAATGTTGTAGTACCCAGGATTCCTAATCATGATCCAGGACTGACAGTGTTAGAATATATTGTATGTTTTGTGCTGCTATAAAACCATGTGTTGTTTAAAAAGACCGCAACAAAACAAAAACCACCACCAAAAAGTTTTTTGCAATAGCAAAAATATATGCAATATATAGATGCAATACAAGCATCTGATTTCTGTCTGTTGAGATGTTCAGAATAGGGCACTGTTACAGACTTGAGGAGAGACAGTTGCTTAGATGGTAACCTATATTCCATTAAGCACTCTCACTGGAGGGACTCTGAAGAGATTGCAGTCTAATCTTATTAAATGAAAAATGGTGGCTACAGGCAAAGGTCAGGAAAAGGAGGAAGAAATCATTAGTTGAATGAAGGCTAAGATTTAGAAAAGGAATGTCGTGAGACAAAGATACCTCACAGAGGTAACATTTAATGTTATTTTCTTACTCTGTAGCCTTCACAGCGTCTTTTTAATGGGTGTGGTTAGTCTTCAAACCAAGCAGCATGCCCCACTGGATGAGAGATCTGCAAGAAAACTGTTTATTCCTTGAGCTGATGTGTGGGACTGATAGGTTTTATATTTTTATAGGAGGCTCAACAACTGTATTCTGTCTCAGTAAAGCACATAAGACAGGTTTGGGGTTTGGCTGTGTGAGAATGTAAATTGATTTATATTGTTTTCCTTTATTCTGATCCTGTAGTAGGAGAGATGACCTGCAAATACACCATGTAGAATGATTAAAAACAAAACAAAAAAAACCCCAAATAAACCCACAACCCACCCTAAAACCTCATTAATCTAATATTACAATCCTCGTTAATATTACAATAAAAACATTGTTTGGGGGTTGCTAATAACTTTATACATGGCAGAGCAGCTAGTCTAGAATCAGATGATGTCTGGATATAGAGTGGAAAGGATGTTTGGAGAGCTTCCTTTTCTAAACCTCCTCATCTTGGTGTGGCCTCCACTTGGGGAGCTGTTTGGGACTACCCAAAGCAGGAAAGCCTAATACTGAAGTTGATGCTGCCTCTGTAGACATTTCAGGAGTGGATTAGAGTTTTTTGTAATGTTCTTGAAGTTGACTTGCTGTATTTAGCGTTTGGGTGAAATCTCAAAGTTGCGGAGACTGCCCTTTGTAGCTTGGTCACCTGAGGTAACCTGTTAATGCCAGACTGTGATTTTTTTTTTTTTTTTTTTTTTTTTTTTTTTAAATCTGAAGGTGGAATTTTTTTTTAAAGCCTTTTATTTTGCATGCAGAAGCCTTTGGATGTTATTGGTGCCTGTCTAGGGACAGAATTAAGACAGGCTGTGGATTTTAAGTCATGGCTCATCTGAATTTTATTTACTCAACATTATAAACAATATTTAATACTATACTAATGTGATAAAAAGAGAGGCTGAATGGCAACTTATTTTGTATTTGATGTAACTTTTTATAATTGGTTTAGTTCTTTTATTCAGAGAATAAACAAACATGTTTTCCATTGTGAAATATTTCTATAATAAGACCGCAAAACTGGATAGGATAGTTTGAAGGCAGATAGAGTAACCAGAATTCTTTTGGGAATTTTTCTCAGTAGTTTAGGATTCAAGTTGATCTGACTTTTTTCTGTCAGGGCAGCAAAGAAAATAGTTTGGGTTTGGATTTTGTTCTTTGTTTCTGTGCCTCATACACTTCTTTTCTTTGCAGTTTGTCTTTCACAGTGTTTGATATGTCGGGTCAAGGGCGATACAGAAACCTCTGGGAACATTACTACAAGTAAGCCTATCATTTATTTTAAAGCATTGCTGTTCATATTAGCTGTCGCATACGTTATTTAAACATGATATTTAAATGTATGATAATATCTAGTGGTTAGAAATGATTCAGAGACGACTTACACCTGGTGTTTGACAGAAGGTCATTCTGAATCAACTTTTCTTTCTGTTCTAAAAAATGAAAATTTTTATATGCTGTTAATCAGCATGCTTTTGGGGAGATCTTGTTGACTCAAAGATTGGGGAGCATACTAGAGATGGGTTTTAAATGTTGAAACCTGAAAACCAATCCTGTAAGAAAGCATTAAGATGAGTTAAGTTTCCTATTTTTCTGTTCTTCTGTAGGTAAGTGACTTAAGACCCAAAAGGTATTGGCTGATGGGTGAGATTTTTAGAGGTGACAGAACTTAATCTCAGAGAATGAGGCACATATAACTAAGCACTTGACTAAGTATTCTTAGATGTTAATTATTAAGTAGGATATTCACTGTACTTTATAACACTGTGGTATTGCCTTATTAGTAATAGACACCATTTTCTGTTTTTCTAGCTTCTAATGAAACTTGAATCTTCATTTGTGTTGTCTCATTGTTATTCTGTAATACCTGATGGTGATCTAAATAAGGTGAACAGTAGTAAACCACACAGAAATAGCTTGGAGAAATAGAATGGAGAAATTCTGAAGATTATAATATTGATTAAATATTAATATTTAATGTGATAGAACTTAAAGTATTCTTTAATTGAGGATTAACACTTCATCTCCTTTCTGTGCAAAATATCTGTTAGCAATTTGAAAACTTGTTGTGTGGGTAGGAGATCTTCATTGTTCAAGAGTGTTAGATGTATGTCTCCCAAATCTTTTGGATTTCAATAACTGATGCCCTTAGGCTGCTCTCAGAATGCTAGCCAAGTGCTTCATAAGCAAATAATTTTTCTGACTGCTGTATTTAATGCAGTAAACTTATCCCTTGTGTGGCATAAATGGCTTTTTTCATAGAATCATAGAATCATTAAGGTTGGAAAAGACCTCTAAGATCATCGAGTCCAACCATCAACCCAACACCACCATGCCCACTAAACCATGTCCCTAAGCGCCTCATCTACACGTCT